GGGCGTACAGAAGCCGAGCGGCTGCACTTTGGGACAAGCGCCTCTGCGAGCGGGGGGGCGGGGTGGGGGGGGGTTTACCTCTTGACTTCCACAGGTAGCTCAAACACCCACCATTCCCTCTCCCCTGTTTGTTCCCCCCCCCGGAACTGCGTGGGGAGCACCCTCCCCCTCCCCATGGGCGGCGGGTGTTGATTTTAGCAGTTTTTTTTTAAAAAAAAAATTATAAGAAGAGAGACTCGGTGGGGGATAAGAGAGAAAAAGACCCAAAAAAAGCCGTTCTGAGCGGCTCTCCGCGGCTGCGGTGCCCCGGGATGGGGGCGAGCATGAAGGGGGGGGCGGTGGAAGGGGGTTTCGCGGCCCGTGGGCCGTGTTTTTCCGCGGCGCGGTGCCTCGTTTCTCCTCTGGGAGTTTCTCTCCTGCAAAAGGGGGTCCGGGTCCCCCTCTGGTTTAAGCCACCGACACCCCATTCCCTTCTCTGGCCAGCGACATCGCGTACAGATATTATATTCTATAGAATAATAAAATCTCTATTTAAAAAAAAATAAAAAAAAATAATAAAAAAGGGGTTTGGCGGGAGCCTGCCACTATTTCCTCCTTCCCGGGTCGGTTCGCTCGCCCTGACCTGTAACCTAAAAATAAAAATAAAAAAAATAAAAAGGGGTTTGGCGGGAGCCTGCCACTATTTCCTCCTTCCCGGGTCGGTTCGCTCGCCCTGACCTGTAACCCATCCCCGCATCGCCTCTCCGATAACAGCCCTCAAGTGGATTAGTTTATTGTTTGATTAGACCGAAGGTGCGAGCTATTGTTTTCCCTCACTCCAGACCCCAAATAAATAAACAAGAAGGACTGCACCTCGCCGCTCGGCACGGATTAGCGGAGCCCACACAAAAGCCTTTAGTGTGTGGGGGGGACACACGCACAGGTTTATTTTACCTTTTAGAAAGAGCCACACTTGAAATAAATAGGGAAAGGGAAGCGCAGCCCAAGCGGCTCCCGCTAATTGTCATTAGGAGCTTCACCTCGGGAGCATCCTCTGCAAGGAACACCCTCTTTGTTTTTTTTGGCGAGGGAAAAGAGCCGCGGCGTGACCCAAAACATATTTGTTGGGGATAAAATAATTAAACAAAAACAACAACAACAACAACAAAAAGAAAATAAAACTATGGTATCCAAATATACTTTCCGAGAGCCCCGCACAGAGGGTTTTAAATCGCTTTTTTTTTTTTTTTTTCTTTTTTTCCAGGGATTTGTTTAACTGTAACTGTTTGTCAGACAGGGCTGCAGTCTGGGATATTGACAAGAACTGCGTTTTCGAATGTCTACCTTATTTCTCAATACATTTAAACAAGTTTCCCAATGTGGCATCCAGCGCCTGTGGCATGACAGGGGTCGGGGTGCACGGCTGGCCACTCGGGTTCACGCATGGTGGTGGCTCCATCTACTGAAAGCTCTGGCACTGGCTCTGCACCCGACGTGCCCTCAGGAAGGTCTCCACATCCTCCATCTAAATTTAGCACCGTGTGTTTCTCTGGGAGGGGAGGTCTTACCACCGGGCAGGAGAACTTCTCGCTGTCGCAGACGTGGGTCTCGCAGTGCAGCCAGACCTTGATAAAGCGGCGGTTCCTCAGAGATGCTGCCGACTCGGCGGCGGCTCCGGCTTTGAGGGGACTCGGCCACGCCGGGCCGTGGAAAAGGGAGTGGAGAAACCGGATTGCCTCGCACTCAGGAGTCCTGCCCGAGGAGGGGAGTGGAAAAAAAAAAATCGGTTTTTCCTAAAATCGGGGGGTACCAGAGCCCTCTGGATCCTCCATCGCTTTCAAGAACTTAATTGTAACGTGCGGGGCTCGGAGTTTCTGCGGGGTGAAATTCCCGTCTCTTTTCACGGCTGGAAAAACAGCGTTAACAAAGGCGTTAAGGATGCTTTGGGGGAAAATTAAAAAAAAAAAAAAAAAAAAAAAAAAAAAAAAAAAAAAAAAAAAAAAAAAAAAAAAAAAAAAAAATAAAAAAAAAAAGAAAAAAAAAGAAAAGGGGGGTGTGAGGAGAATGTTCCCCCGCACTCAGACCGGGAGCCGACACAGTTTTCCCTATGGAGGCTCAAGAGAAAGCCCCTGCCACCCCCAAAAAATCCCGGCGCCGGCCTGCCTTTTTCCCCTAGACAATTAAATCTTCTCCAGGACATAGGAATCTAAATGAGCTTTCCTATTCACGCGATTACTCTATCTCGTTCCCCCCGAAGCTTCAAAGACGGAGAAATCCTCCCAATTCACCGATATTACTTATAAATTTGTAGATGGAGATCTAGCCTGCCCT